CCTACATGTTGAGGAAACAACTGTGTCACTTCACAAAGCATGACTCCTAGTGTGGCTAAGAAGTTCTAGCTTTTGCATGCTGTCACCTGCTCCTATCGATGAAACAGCAAATTTCAGTGTGCAGAAGTCAAAACCTCTCCACTGGCTACGCGCTCACACAGGCACATTTTGAAATCCATGGGAACATTGCTCTCTGATGCGTTGCCAGGGCAAACAAGTCCACTATTTTCTATCTCTGCTGCCTTTCACTATGGGAGTCAAACACATGCACCTACAAAAAAGAGCAAAGCGCACAGGTCTCAGTTTGGCACATATATAATGTTTTTCATCTTCAAACCCTCTGAAGAGAGGGGGGAAACCACATTAATCTTCACAGCACCCTTGTGAGATAAATACAAAATGATTGCTTACCCTGTAGTGTACTTTATCTGAAGATTTTATCTCACAGGACTCTGAATGCAGCTTTTGTGCCTTAGCATAAGACTAGCAAAACTTCCTGAATTCTTTAATTAATAAGAAACAGTCACACTATAGTCACACCAGTCATTTTTTCTGATGATGTCAAAACTGGTCATAAGGTAATCCCTGAAGTTTGTTTCAAATGTGAATTGTGACAGTTGAGTACATTAAGCTGGAAGTGGAAGTGAAAGGGATCAAAATGGGTCCATTTGTGCTATGTCACAACGTACTCCTGTCTGGAACCTCCAGCTTGCCCCAAAATGCCACACTCATGAACTTATTCATCACCAGAAGTCAAGCTGTCTGACCAATGTCTTGATGAGTGGGTAGCACGCTGCTGTGACGTCAATGATTGCTGAAGCAGTCGGACTCTTGGCTTGGATGAATCACCCTGGGACACCTACGGATAACTGTAACAGAGTTAAGTTCCACAACCTTCAGGAAAGATGCACACAGGTTCTCTGACGAGACTTTTTGCCTGACAAAAAAAGTAACTATAAAGCTAGTAACTATAAAGACACAGAATGCACCTGACTACATGAGGGAAAAGTATCTTTGCCAATAGGATGGCCAACCTCATAAGGAGAGCTTTAAACTAGAAAGGATGGAGGAGGGAACAAGGAGGTTTGGGATAGGGTAGGCAAGCGAAGAGCCTGGGATGATGGGAAGAGAAAGAACATAGCAATTCACCAAACAACTGAGCTGAAGTGTAATCTCTTTGAGCGTAGGCATGTAAAGAAGGAAGTGCCTGCAGAACAGCCTTGTGGGGAAAGCTCTCAAGCCTGTGCTGCAGAACTGGCACACTTGGATGCCCTCAGAGGCCTCTACTCTAAGGCATGCAGCACAGGGAAGTGTTTGAAGTCTGTGTGCAGTTACAGGGTTACAATCTCATTGGGATCATGCAGAAATGGTGGGACAGCTCACATGACTGGAGTGCTGTGATGGAGGGATACAGGCTCTTTAGGAAGGATAGCTGGGAAGGTGAAGAGGGGGTGTTGCCCTTTATGTGAGAGAGCAGCTGGAATGCATGGGCCCCTGCCTTGAGACAGGTCAGGAGACAGTTGAGAGCTTTTGGGTCAAGATTAGCAGGCAGACCAACATGGATGTTCTTGTATGTACATTTGCTATAAATCTCCTGATCAGGAAGAAGTTGTAGATGAGGCCTTCTTCACACAACTGGAAGAAGCTTCATGTTCAACAGGCCATGATCTTCATGAGAGACTTTAGCCATCCCAATACCTTCAGGTATCTGAACACCAAAAAGACCCAACACTTTTTTACTTTGAGAGCGGTCAAATCCTGGAACTGGTTGCCCAGAGAGACTGTGGAGTCTCCATCCTTGCAGATGTTCAAAACATTACTGGACACAGTCCTATGCAACCTGCTCTAGGTGGCCCTGCTTGAGCAGGCGGCTGGACTAGTTGATCTCAAGAGCTGCCTTCCCACCTCAACCATTCTGTGACCCTGTGATGTTTAGCTCCATTTAATTTGATTCCTCATATATTTAAAATGCAAATATAAGCCCTCGCCAGTGAACATATGCATTGTGCCTTCATTCTTGACACACAGCCCCACTGCAAACCCATTATCTCCAACTGAGTGGTCTCACTCAGATCAAATTAAGCAAAGCACATTTAGGACTGTGGCCCTGCACAGTCATTCTCCTAACCATGCATTTTACTTCACCTTTTTTTATTCAAAGGATCTCATTTGTATTAAAAGAACTTTCATTTCATATAGAAGGTCAAAGGATTCACTGATCTGTTATTTCAACGACAAAGCTGCTCATGAATTGAAGTTATACCGAACATTTAAGCAATGTAGACAAAAATAACGGTCACTATAAACGAAGCTAGAAATCCTGTCGATGTTTTTTTCTTTAAGTTTCCCAACATGGCAACACTGTCCAACAGATACCCAGTATTTGTTTGCTATGTCATAAAAATGTTCTGTATCACAGCAAATGCATATAAATGTATACCACTGCAGAACTTCTATTCCTATAGGATGCACAACAGAGGCTCTGTAGACAGAGCAACATTTTAACACATCTTTCAAAATGGGCAGCGTCTATTGTTTACCATCTCTGGTGAATTTTAACATCAAAATAAACTCTTCATTATTCCTATTCTCCTGAAACATTTCACCTCTCCATTACTTATCCAAAAATTACCCTATACCTGACACCACTTTACACTATGAAACTACGTTCAACCACAGCATGTAATTGTGAATGTTTGGTAAGAGGGGGCGGGAAGGCACTGACAGCTCACAAGCTGTGATAATCACTCTAATGGTGAAACACCTACTGCAGGAAAAGAGATTTCAGTAGCACAGTTTCTCATTTCCTGCTTTTGTTGGTTGGCAGAAGGCAACAGACATAGAACAATCTTTGGATTGTCAGAGATGTGTACCACTGTACGCACAGCTTTGAGAGGGAAAACACTGCACTGCATGTTAAGATACCTTTAAGCAACACCAATTTTACAAAAATGCATCCTGAGTTAACTGCTTGCTGATAGAAATTGCCTGGTTACATGTTATTTCCATACAAAACATGAAAATTCTGTTGCAAAACAGGGAGAAAAGGCACTGCCGCAAAGTGTAATTGATAATAAAGGTGAAAAATTAAGAGATGAAGGAGAAGAAAGCAGCAATTCCAACCCACCTATTGCATTTAATGTTCTAGATTGTAATTTCAACAATAATTTCAACAATAATTTCTCAGTTGTGGTAAAGAAACATAACAGCAAATTGTTCAGCATATCATGGTTTCATCTCATTTCTGATCATAAGAACAGCATGCATTTTTGTGTCACACAAAATTAATTATAGGATTAGGGTCCCTGTCTTTATAAAGTGACTGAGGTCACAAACTTCTCCCAGCAGGCAACTAGGTTTCTGGGCAAAAAGGGGATAGAAGAAGTCCAAAAGAGCACAGAGAACTTCACTCTTAGTTGAGAAAATGCTAAGGAATGTACAGTAATAATGGAAAAATACTCACAACTTTATTTTATTATTCTGTCATGCATTTCTCAAAGCAAAACTATACTTCAGAAAGGTTGCCCTAACTACTCCAGGTTATCCACCTTATATGTTACAGACGCACTTCTCAGGAAAATGAAAACTCAAGAAGTGCACTAGCAGCCTGTTACTGTACAACCTGAAGTATATATTGTCCTATATAAATGACCCCACTTGAGAACAAGATTTTCTTTCTTTCACTGTTACCTAGCATGAATACATAACTTCCTCAGAAAAAAAAGACCCCTATCTAGATTATTAAATGGCGCTCCAGGCACTTACCACGGTAAGATTTGCCAAAATTTAATATAATTGCAGCTTCTGAATTTAGACTAAATTTTGCTAGCGTTTTAGAAACAAGTGTCAGATTTATTTGTTTTGAAAGATGGAAGAGGAATTAGAACAACGTCCATGCGATGGCAAATCTCCCTTTCTACTTATCTCTGTAATGATCTGTATACTGCATTGGGTTTTTTCCTTTTAATTGTATATTCCTCAGCTCCAACTTCAGTAGTCGGAATGCACAAACCTATATCTGGTCATAAACTTTTATTAGAACTCTGTTGAAATAACAGAATTTCAAATAAATTATGCTAAATAACAAGGAAGTGAAATGATTCTATACTGAGCCACTGACGATTTGGCAGCTATTTGTTTAAGTGCCTGAAGGAGTAATTATATTGCCTCTGACAGTTTAGTTTAGAACAACCAAGATCCTAAGCTCTTAAAATTTTAAGAAAATAGCAAGAACTACATGCAAACTCCCAGGGAAAGGATGACGAGAAAAACCTCTGACCCATTAAGAGAATGCAATAACCATGTTTAAAACATGGTAAAAAGCCTTTCAGGACTAGCAATTACAGTAATAACTTTTGTTCTTTTGGGTTTTCCTCCTCTCCCTGCTCACACATTGTGTTTTGGGTGCCATTTTTCTTTAAAAATTAAGATAATTTTAAGATGTGACAACCAGCACTCCACAACAGGGACATACTATATGGATCTCCGGGAACAAAATAAAAAGTGAGCAGGCAAGAAGTTTTTTAGGGGAACCATAAAATGCAATTACCATCGTTCTTACCATTTATAACTCGCAGAGCCCAAGTGACCTGGGAGAGTACCTAACAGAAAACAGTACTCACAACAATAAATTAACAATTACGGGATGCAGACAATGCACTCCCAGATTGCTTTTAAGTATGAGAAGTTCTGTCACAAACCCATTTTTGGACTTAATACAAGAAGGATAAACAACAAGGAGAACAATCTCAAGTCTCCGTACACTTATCAATTTCAGTCTCAGGTGAGCATAAAAGCAATAGCCATATATTCCAATTAATGATAGTTCAGATATTTCAGAGTAAAACATGTTTAGACAAAAGCATAAGAAGCCACAATTTAAAGACTGAGCTTTTCAACAGACATGAATGCTTGCTTTTTACCAGATTTCTTAGTTAGTATTTTCACATTTCTGCAAAGCACTTTTGTAGCATATATGTCAACTGAAAAATAAATCCTACCTGTTTCCTCTTTTCAGGTGGAAGGGATGGATCCCCATCCTACAAATAAATGGACATATTTTATGGGCAACTTATTTCTGAAGTCAGCAACTGTATTAACTTTGTGGATCAAATTTAATACATGTATTTTACCTAAAATGTTATCAAAATTGTTTCAAAAATACTGCATCTTGATTAATACCAGTAATATTAATTTCAACTCAAAAAATTGTCTAAGGCTGAAGATTTGTTTACATTTCTAGAACAGCAGGTCATTACAAATTTATGTTGCATTATTTTTCATAACGGTACATTAAGTTGCTGTGGAATAATAATACCGCAGTCAGTTTTTAAATGGAATTATGACTGAAACTAATTTCCTCAGAGCACGCGCTGTCTTTCTGTGTCTTATATAACAGGCACTACCTCATCAATGCGGAACAAATGAGTAATAATATGATCAGGGCTGTACAACTGCAGGACTACTGTAAACAAGTACCTAAACATTTTTACAGCACTCATTATGGACTTCTTTTGATTTTTTTTGAGGTTGACTCTTGTCCCCCAATTATACAGTATTCATAAAGAATAACCTACAATCAGCTCCCGATACTTCTTTTTCAGAGACTGGTGTCGTTCCCGCAACTGGTTGGCCATAAGCTTGTACTGGTCTCTTTCTTGCTGACAGGTGTCCAGTTCTTTGGAAAGGATTAGCAATGCCTCCTTTTTACTTTCGAGCTTCCTTTTACACACCAGATACTGAAAAAGAGAAAACAAACAAACAAACCCCTAATTGTAACAAGCCATTTCTACCCCAGCCAATACTGGATTCAAGAGTCTGAAGTTTTCCTCTCAAAAGATGAAGGAAGACTCTCTGCACAAGATCAAAGTCTTCCACAAGTCCTCTTAGCTTATTAATAACAATCACAGTAAAGAAATCTGTTCTACCAGAAACCTGAAATCCATTTGTAAGGCCACATGCTCACCTGACCACCGTGAGTTAGAAAAATTAAGCAATTCAAGTTTCTCCTCTTTTTCCTCATATGCAACAGTGTGAGGAATCTCACAGCTTGACCCGCAGCCCTGGGAAGGCTGCTGGAAGGAAGAAGCCTTTGCAAACTCCCTTTTCTACTTGTGTCCACAACACCCAGCTCTCAGTTAGCAACCAGCCTGTCCCACCTCATTCCTCCTTCCCTCCTCCTTCTCCTCCTCCCCACCACCAGCAATGTCCTCTGGGCTCAGCCTCCCACCTGGACAGTGCAATGGGACTGTTACAGCAGAAGGGGTAGCATGAGCAGCAATCAAAATTTACCTTGAGTCTACAACAATTACAGTGTGATACCCTATCGACACAGATAAAACTAATTCAGCTGCGATACTATACACATGTGCTTGCTGAGTCGAAAGAATGGGAAATAATGCAGGAATACTGCAAGCACCTAAATCAGGAGGGAAGGTAGAGGTGAGCCCCTCCAGCCACTGCCTCTTATGCATAGGGCTCATGCACAAAGCAAAGCAGAACTTGCAAATCTTAGCTGTTCTGCATTAGTCTGATCTGCTCTACTGCCTTTCCCCACAGAGAGGAAGAAAGAATAATGTGCACATCACCCTTTCCTGCAGTGGCTGAATTTTACCTATCAAAAGTTTCAGGCAACTTTTTTCACTTAACGTGATGTTCAATCAGCAGATTCTTCTTACCCATCACTTGACACTGCCCATGCTAAAGCATATATTTCTATTTCTGATGTTACTCACATGAGACATGGCACTAAATGCTTTCTGAATGTGCTCTGCAAGAGACTAAATATCACAGCAGTCATGAAAACAATTTATAGTTTCATTATATACTCTGACAAGAATACTTTGTCATTATGGGCTCTTGCACAAAGTAAGAGCATCAGCACTTCCATACTGTTCAAGTTAGTGCTGTTCTTTGGGACAAAAATCATTATTCGTATGTACTACTTGCTTGGAATTGACTTTGTTAACCTCAATTGCAAGTCAATGAGAAAGGCAAAAGCAGGTTTTGTATATTAGTACCGCCAACCTTTTCCAAAAATGGTAAATGCTTAGTTGCAAAAAAGCGGGAAGGGAATGAGAAAAGCAATTCCAAGAAGGATTTGAACTCTCAAAAAGGACACTTCCACCTTGGATTAATTTTATTTCTGGCAATACTGAAGTTGAAATCCTGCCATAAATTTTCTGGATTATGATGCTTTGGCATCAACAAAGGCAACTGTACCTATGTACTTATGTCCTTACTGACACCTTACACAGATGTCAAGTCCTCTGATAAAGCACTGAAAGGTATCAGAAGCTAAATTTTAATATTGTCGGCAAGTGATCATAGTGACATAGTAAAGTGCTTCAAATTTGATAGAATAATTCCTTCCCTTACAGGGAAATATTTGCCTCCGACAACCTCTCTTCTTTTTTCCAGTTTCATCTCGTATCTTAGTCAATTCTAAAATATGCCTTCACTAAATTGATTTTAAATACTAACAATCTGATACACTAATTGCAACTAAAAACAAGTAAAAGCAAACCTATCACTTCTTCAGAAAAAAACAAACAAACCCCAAAACCCCTGAACCAAGCAGCCTGGCCTGTTTCTTTAACCACCAGGAAGAATGAAGCTGGCAAATGCCTACGTGGAATGTACACAATGGGAGGGGAGCAAAGCTAAACATCTCGCCCTAGGACAGCCACACCACCAGCAGGTGCCTCTGAGCCTTGCCCTGAGTGCTGGTATATGTAACAGTGTACGGGAGTCGGAAGTTAACTGGAGCATGTGGAGAAGACTATAAAAAATAATACTTTTTTGTGAGGGTGGTGAGGCACTGGAACAGGTTGCCCAGAGAGGTTGTGGATACCCCCTCCCCGGAAGTGTTCAAGGCCAGGTTGGATGGGGCTTTGGGCAACCTGGTCTAGTGGAGGGTGTCCCTGCCCATGGCAGGGGGGTTGGAACTAGGTGATCTTTAGAGTCCTTTCCAACCCAAACCATTCCAGGATTCTATCATAATGCCTATCAGGCAGGAAATGCAGACCTAGTGCTAAACAAATCTTGCTTCTGCCATGAGTCACAGCCCCTCCACAAAGGAGACGCTCAAAGCATAAAAGAAAGCTTCTCCTTTCACAGCAACACTGGGGGGGGGCAAGGGAACTCTCCATTATCTATTAGGTTGAAGATAATGAACCATAAACAGATTGTGGGGACAGTTGTATTCAGGGTCTAAATGAAAAGGAATAATGATCTCCTCCTTGTTTAAAGTATATTTTAACTTGATGAATTATATACTCATGATGTGCCATACAGAAGGAAGGGGCTTGGCATCTCTCCTCAATGTGCTGTTTGGATTTTACTACAAAATGACTGCTTAGAAGATCTTTTGAAGCCATTTTTGCCTTTTGCATATATTGACTTTCCCAAATAAACGGGATAAAAATAGTAATAGTGTAAAGCAATAGCGTTTGTTTCCGTGGGCTTATGGTACAAGAAACAATAAAGGCACAGCATTTCTGTGGAATTTGATTATTCAATAGAGCTATGTTTCCAATTCACATTACAATTTTTGAAGGAAAAAACAAATTATACAAAGATAGACTTCAAAGTGGTTATTCAATATATATGATTCTGAATGTTTAAAAAAAAAAACAAAAAAGGTACTAATAATGACCATAAACTGACCTAAGAACTGTACTAGAGAAATGGATTCTACTCAGGGAAACAACTGAGTCCCACTATCAATTTCCCATACACGGACAAAAAGGTGCAGCAAAATTGGTATACTGTCAAAAGGAACATAAGAGTTTAACAGTCTTTTTAGAGCAATGCAAGCAATAAGGAAAATTTTCTCATGTAGTCTGAGAAAAAGTATTCAATAGATGCTTCTGGCATTTATATAGAGATTTCTTCCTCTGCAATTGAAGGAAAACCTACATCTCACATTCTGTTTATCAGCGAGACAAACAAGTGAATTCTGTTATGCACTATAGTTACTACAAAATATTCTTATTGTCTTTTGTTTCTTTTTTAATTGATGTTCCAAAATAATCTTTGAGTTTAAAAAACAGTTCACCAAGAACCAGCTGCTATACTTTCAATCTAAAAGCTACAACGTACAACTTTTCATATCTGTCTAGTGACTTTTATCTACCAATTCACTGTTATCTGCAATAAAGCAAATTATAATTGCTACAAGGAAGATCATAATAATTAAAGGAATATATATTACATCCTACATTACTGCCTGAACTGCTTTACAGCCAGATAACTACTTTAGTGAAATTGAGTAAAAAGAGACTGACATTACAGGAGAGTGTAACTGCTCCAAGGTGACCCTCTACATTGAACACTTACTATTTGTCCATTGCTATTTTTAGTGACAAATCTGGATAGATGTCATTAACAACGCCCTAGACATAGTCTAATAATCTGATGAAGCTGGGACACTGTCAAGGTTTTAGACTTTCTATTTTTAAACAAACACACTGAATTCCTATCAGAAAATTATTTATTTTAAATTTGTACAAATTACTGGCCTATACTTGGGTATTTAATGGCAATTAGTGCCAAGAAGGAAAATATCTAATTTTCTGAGGGTAAAAGTAGAGATACAATCTCCAAATTGTGCTTTGGAATCACTGTAGATCACATTCTGTGTTCTCTCAACACTCCAGGACCTAGTGTCCTGCCAAATGTTGATGGGCCACCACACTGTACACGGGCCTGGAAACCTATCGTCCACCATGCTCTCAGAGAAACTATGAAATCTACTCACCGTCTTTTGGGCCAGAGATCCAATTGCTATTGAACTGCCTGAAGTTTTATCAAATTTCTCCTCACTGTACTCTTGGAGGCAATTTTTTTGTGGAAATGACAAACTGAAGAGTCCCAAAATGCACTGCAACATCACTCTTCGGGGTGTTTGTTGACTGTGTTTCAGTAACGTTGCTCCCCTTGACCGTTCAAGGGGATTTTATCTCATTTAAACCGTTCAACTTATCTGAAAGAGTCAAGCACTCAGACTCAAGAGAAATACACAATTACTGGCCATTTACCTGCCATCTCATGTCCTCATCTCCGATAAAACCTAAGACAATGAAGTGTCCTTGGTTTTATTCCAAAATATCAACTCTGCGTTTCCTGCTGCTGAGCGCTTGCTTCACTAGCTATCTCCTGACCGCTGAGACACAAATCAGGCTGCTATCATTCACTCATGACATAAGTGATACAAGCAGCTCCCCAGACCACCACATCTTGTCTTGATGACAGTATTATACTGCATCATCTTCACTGGTCATTTAGGAATTACCATTATTTGATTTGATTAGTCAAAATAACACTATTTTGCAATGTGGCCCAGCCCGTAAAAGTTTTGTATGTTGTGCATCAGATTACTAATTTTTAATTTCTCCGTGCTTGTTCCTGGAACACAGAAACATGAGAAGCAAACACTTGATCTGTTGCCTGAAAGCCCGGCATGCAAGTCTCCGTAGCACCTCTCCCATAGCTCTGAGAACTTTGGAGAGCAGTGTGTCACAATGCCAGCTCTTTTAGCATTTCCATTTCCTTTTCCAAATGACAAAGCCATTACAATGCCAACCCAATCACCTAGGGACCTCAGAGCATCCGCTCCACTTTGTTCTTCCCTACAGCCACTGGCATTTGTCTGCATTTAGAAAAGCTCTGAAATTAGTGGCTCCAAAGCCTGCTGGGTCCCCCCATGTAAGTTTGGTGAATTACATGTCACAC